ATTTTCATTTTCTTTTTGTGATTTCCCTGATGTTTACAAAATTTGATGCCAAAAGCATGTATCACTTTTATAATAAGAAACATGAATATTTTAAGAGTAAATTTCCTATTTATTAGTATCAAACAAACCAGTGATTATGGCAAAGTATTAGACAAGTTCTCAAAGAACATGGGGCACAAACTACAGAAAGCAGTGCCTGAAACCCTTCTGAGGAAGGTCCCCTGGTATAAAGAACAAGTAGCAGGTTGGAGAAGCTCTAGTAGAACCATACTGGAAGTGCAACAGAGCTTTTACAAAACCCACAAATGCATCAAGTATGATAGCACATGCCTAGAATCACAGGTACTCAAGAGGTGAGGCACGAAGACTGGTTGAGGCCTGCCTGAGCAACACAGAGAGACACAGTCTCAAAATAAAATAAAAGGGCTAGGGATGTAGCTTAATGGTAGAGCCTGAGTCAGACTTGGGTCAAGTCCTCAGTTTCACACAAATAAAGGAAAAGACCCCACAAATGCAAAACTGCAGGGATTAGTTCAATCTGTCTCCTGAAACTCACATACCACAGCACCCATCTCTGTCATAGTTTATATTCTCCTTACCTTTATGGAGTTGAACAAAAGGCAGGGGTGATTGCACAGTTTTTTAAGAGCTCCTATACATATTAGATGAGGACTATTTTCCAGTGACCCTTGAAGACAGAACCTGACAGCCTGAGAATTCAACAGCTTTTTATAAAGTTCAATCTGTAATGTTCCTGGTCGGCAAAAGAGTACATTCTCTATTTTAGGTGGGAGATATTTATTTATGACTTCCTGGGTTCTTCTAAGGATAAAAAGTCCAGTTAAGACGAGTAAGTTCAGCTGCTCTTCTGTCTCCTAACTGCTTCTCTTCCTATGGAAAAGAAGCAGATTTAAATTAAATGCTCAGTATAACAATTTAGTTCAGTGAAGCCATAGTCTCCTAATCATTACTTTTTTGGCTATAGGCACCAACAGGGAGAACCATCAGAAATCAATGAAATCAATAAACTACAAATGAAGTCATTCTGAAAGTAAACTTTTATGTTAAGGCTTGAAGGGGACATGGTCTTAAAATCATTTGACAAATTTTCACCCTAAAACTAAGCCCACAAGAAATTAATGGCACAAAACAATGTTGATTTCTAGTACACTTCAACTCAAAATATAATATTAATGAAATATACCTTCAAATTCTATATATAAATTTTTTGAACAGAGAACTTTACTATAAAGCTTTAAATAAATCTCTTATGTATATATTTATCCCTATATAAACCAGAAATGTTCCCTGATATTTTAAAACAAGGTTTAATTTTTATTACAAAACTAGTAAGTTCACTAATAAAAAACAGAAACTAGTTATACAATAGTAAATTTTAAATCAACTTTCAACAACCACTATTGTCAAGACTTATGTACATCCTCTAAATCTTACTCCTCTACATAACCAAAAACAGGATTTCAAACTATTAAGCTTTAAGCAAGCAAGACACCAATCAGTTTGTAGTACTTAGTCTCTGACCCATTTATCATGTTTAATGCATATGCTGGATAAATGAATGCGAGCTTTTTTAACATGCTATTAAATATTCACATAACCAAGCAGCAGGAATAGTTCAGTGGTAAAGTGCTTGCCTAGCATGTTCAAAGCCCTAGGTTTAATCTTCAACCACTAATACCACTATATTGTGTAGTTTTTCGTTCACAGAAAATGTTCAATAAATATCTGTTGACAGCACTGGAAAGATAGCTCAGCAGTCTGGCAAGCACAAAGATCTGAGTTCGATCCCTGGTACCGTACCACATGCTGTGCTGCCCAGCCAGCAACCGAAACTGGGTGTAGTGGCACACTCCTGAAATACCAGTGCTAGGGAAGCTGAGACAGGAAGATCATTACAAGTCCAAGCTGCGTAATGAGAGTCTGTATTAAATATCTGCTGACAAACTACTGTATTTTATGAATTCTGGGATAGAATTTTTCACACACTTTAGCTACTATAGTATAAAATGACTTTATAATCAATTATTTCTAATATACTTCCTGATAGTATGTTTTACTTAGTGATATATAAAATAATGATATACACTGTGTAATTGATAGTATCTTTTTTCTTTTGGTATCAAGAATCGAACTCAGGACCTTATGCATGCTAGGCAGGTGCTTGTGCCACGGAACTATATCCCAGGCCCAATTGATAGTATTTTAGTTAATTCAGCAGAGTATCTTTAAAACATGAAGACTATTTTGGGGCCAGGGAGAGGGCTCAGTGGAATAAGCGCTTCCCTGGCAAGCGCAAGGGCCTGAGTTCAATCCCCGGTTCCGCAAAAAAAAAAAAAAAAAAAAACCATGAAGACTATAATTTAACGTGTCCCTGTCTTTAACAATATTTGGTTCTAATTAATGTTTTTTATTTTGTTTCCAATTTTTTCCCTTACAGAAAAATATTTAAATCTATTGTCATTTGTTTACAATAAATTCCTAAAAGTAGTACTAGGTCACAAGATATTACTAGGTCACTATTAAGACTTTCTGATACTGCCAAACTGTCCTCAAGTTATGCCAGTTTACATTCCACCCAACAGAGCATGGTTCTCTCAGCTATGCTTGGTATTACTATGTAAATTCAACCAACTACAACACCTACTAAAAAACACAAAAGTTACCTCTGTTAGCTTGGCTTACTTTTTTTCTCTACCAGAGAGGAAGAACATTTTGATATATATTTTCATTTATAATCTTTCTGAAATGCCTGTTTATGAATTTTAAATAAGTGATGTCATTTCCTAAAATAATGATGCAGGAAAATATGAAAGAATGATTCTATAAAACAGTTCACTTATTTTTTCTAAATTAAAATAATTCCCAAGTTATAGATGATTTTTCTAGACATACTGATCTTTTTAAACCTTCTTTATTAAAGTAAATCATACCTCAGAAGCAGAAGGCTCTCGTGACATAACGATGGGTTCTTCATATATTTTCCTATAAGATGACAAAGAGCCTAATACTCCTGGATTTACAAAATCAATTAATGCAAAAAATTCCTGCAGATCATTCTGAATTGGAGTACCTAAGGAGAGACAGAGAAGACTGAGTTTGTTTTATAATCCTAGGTATTTGTAAACTCTTTGTACTCTCTTCCCTCAGAGGAATAAAAGAAAATTTCCTAATATTAAGGAAGAGCAGGAGCTGGGGAGATAGCTTAGTAGAAAAAGTGCTTGCCTGGCAAGCACAAGGGCCTGAGTTCAATCTCCAGTTCCACAAAAAAAAAAAAAAAAAGGAAGAGCAGTCAAATCAAATTTAAAATATTAATAATCACATAAATCTTTAATTCTGTCTTTTGGTAGCAAGGTGCAGCAGCACATGCTTGTAGCCCCAGCCCTCAGGAGGCTGAGGAGGGATTGCTGCAAATTTGAGCCACCATGGGCTACACGGTAGGTTCAAGACCAGCCTGAACTGCAGAATAAGACCCTGTCTCAAAAAACTCTGTTCTTCTGGGGTTTTGCTATTGTTCTGTAATTAAGTTGCCCGAGTTGTTAATTTCAAACTCACAATCATTCTTTTTTTTTATTTTTTGCTTTTTTCTTATTTTTTGAGACAAAGTGTTGCTATGTAGTTCAGACTAGCTTTGAACTCACTATGCAGCCCAGACTGGCCTTAAATTTGCAGTGATCCTCTTGCCTCAACTTCCTGAGTGCTAGAATTACTGGTATGCACCACCATACTTTGGCCTTTTTATTTTCTTTTTTCAGACAGAGTCTAAAAATTGGTTTTTGTTTGTTTTGGAGTTTTGTCCTGCAGTACTAGGAATCAAACAGAGGACCTCATTCATGCTAGGCAAGCAGCGTACCAATGAACTATATCCCTAGCCAAACTCACAATCATTCTGCCTCACTCCCCCAAGTAGCTCAGATTACAGGCATATGCCACACTGTCCAGCTCTTCTCAACTCTGGTTTTAACAGCAAAATGACTGAGTCAGCTTGGAGTCTCATCACTACTTAACTCTGAGCAATTTACTTAGAGTAGTATATTATCAATAAAATAGGGATAATAAAAGTAGCACCTTGAATTGTAAGGCTCAAAGTCACTGAAGCACATAAAGTACTTAGAACAATGCCTAAGATCTTGGACTGTGATTTTGTTACAGCAGCCCTAGCAGACTAATACTCCTCTGCGCATCTGTCTGAATCCTAGCCATTCTACAATTAATATTAACTGGGCTAGGGGCTGGTGAGATGGCTCAGTGGTCTAAAGCACCTACTTAGAACAAGTTTAGCAAAGCAGAGGCACTGCGGTTCAATTCCCCAGCACCACATGCCAGCCAGCCCTGCCCCCTGGTGGGCTGAGCTGGCCATACACATGCATAAATAAATAAAAATTAAAAAAATATATATATATTAACTGGGCTAGATAATACCAACATAAAATCAAAACTTCTTTGATTCTTAAGTTACTGAGTACCTATCATATATGTAGCAAAGCATTTACACATATACAAACATGTACTTTCAAAATAAGAGGCAAGTTACCATGGGACCAAAATATCCTGCCATTATAAAAGCAAAGAATTTATTCAGGCAATTCTTTTTTTATTTTTTATTAATTTTAATAAGAAATAGCAAAAAAAAAAAAAGAAATAGCAATGAGACAGTTTCAAAACAGCTTAGTAGGACAGTTATAACTAATACAGTGAACTGGGGAGATAGTTCAGCAGCATAAGCACCTGCCTGCCAAGTGCAAGGTCCTAAGTACAATCCCCAGTATCTCAACAATACAAAGCAAAACAAAAAAACATTCTATGAATAGTTTTATTTGGGCTGGGGATTTGGCTCAGTGGTAGAATGCTTGCCTAGCAAGCTGGAATCCCTGGGTTTGGTCCTCGGCACCAAAAACAAAAAATAAACTTCCCCTAAAAAACAACTCAACCAGGGACAGGGAGATGGCTCAGAAGAACAAGTGCTTTTCTGGCAAGCGCCAGGGTCTGAGTTCAATCCCCAGTTCCGGGAAAAAAAAAAAAAAAAAAAAAAAAAAAAAAAAAAAGCAAGCAAGCAAGCAAAAAATTCAACCAAAAAAATACAGTAAAATCAAAAAAGACCAAAAACAAACAGGGCAAATAATTAATATACTGCATATTGTCTTCATAGTATTCCCAGTACAAGATGCAGATATGATCTCTTGTCTAAAGAATATTAGTAAAACTCTTTCTTCTCATTAAACTAAGAAAAAGTAGCTATATATCTATCCTATTTTGTATAAGATGGTTAAGGCCATAGTCCTAAGAACCTCCATCAAGTTTTTAAAAATAGCAGTTAATGGGTAGAATTCTCACCCTGCCCAACTCTATATACTGATATCTGTGAACTAAGAAACTACACTGAGGACAGCAATGTATAACACTAAAACCATGCTTGAAATACCTATCACTTTGGTCTTCTAAATGCATACTGCTCCTAACATCATATCAATTATTGCTATACTCTCTTCTGTTACTGACAAGGAAATTTGCATATATCACTTTGCTTTGTTTAATACTTCTTGCATTTCTGTATTGTGATTTATGAGATTTGTGCATCTGTAAAGACAGACATCTCTTTCACTTTTTTTTTTTTTTTTTGTGGAACCAGGGATTGAACTCAGGCCCTTGTGCTTGCCGGGGAAGCACTTATTCTACTGAGCCATCTCCCTGGCCCTATACTCTCTTTAAACTAAATGTTTGTTAAAAAAGAAAAAAGGTAATAAAAGAAGAGATTTTTAAAAAAGTCATAAGATTGTCCTGCTATATCATTTAGGCAAATCTACAGGACATAAAAACCAATCACATGTATTTTTAAATTTAAGAGGCTAGTGCTAATTTTTACCTAAATTCAGAGCTCTCAGAGTAGAACAACAAGGATAGGAAAACAGAACAAAATCTAACAAAGTAAGGACAGAGGGAACAATCCTAATCTTAAAATGAAATTATCTCGCCCTCAGGACATTCCTTCTGAATGAAGTACCAGAATCCACTGTAAAAATTAAATTTAATTTGGAATGGTAGATAAATTAGTATTTACTTGTAATTGAGAATATTAAATTTATTCCTTTTTATTAAAGAAAGCTATCTGATTTTCAAGTGGGGCAAGGACATAATAATTTTTATTCCTTACCTTGAGTACTTTTCAATAACATTTATTTGTCATTCTTTTTTTTTTTTTATTTGTGTGTGTGTGTGTGTGTGTGTGTGTGTGTGTGGCCAGCTCAGCCCACCAGGGGGCGGTGCTGGCTGGCATGTGGTGCTGGGGGATTGAACCGTGGTCCCCGTGCTTTGCCAAGCTTGTTCTAAGTAGGTGCTTTAGACCACTGAGCCATCTCACCAGCCCCGATTTTTTTTTAATATATATATTTGGTCAAGTTCACCAGGGTTAATTTTTTTTTAATATTTATTTATTTATTTAGTGTGTGGCCAGCTCAGCCCACCAGGGGGCGGGCGGGCTGGCACGTGGTGCTGGGGGATTGAACCGCGGTGCCTGTGCTTTGCTTGAGCTTAGCTTGTTCTAAGTAGGTGCTTTAGACCACTGAGCCATCTCACCAGCCCCTGTCATTCATTTTTTCTATCAATTTTTTTTCTCTTCTAGTTCTCACTTTGGGGACTGGGGAGATGGCTCAGTAGAATAAGTGCTTGCCTAGCAAGCACAAGGGCCTGAGTTCCATCCCCGGTTCCACAAAAAAAAAAAAAAAAAAAAAAAAAAAACAACTAGTTCTCACTTTTTTTTTTTTTACTTTATAGCCACAACTAGCTTTTAAATAAGCAATACCTCACATTGAGCAGTAAGGAAAAACCATCTGTTTTTTCCCATCTAACACAATGCAAGTAAAGTCAGCCACATCATTTTTTCCACTTCCTTTCCAGCCCCAACAATCTCAAGATCAAAGGCTAATCAAAAAAAAGTATGACCCAGTTCTCAACACAACAAAGACATGAAAAGTCAACTGAGATTAAATTTTCCATTTCTTCAATTTCTTTCCCCTTTAAAAATAGCATCTTATAAATATTCAACATCAGCTTTTCTAGCCTCTGGTTTCCACATCCCTACTGTGTGGTACACATGCAGAATCCAGACTGATATTTTTATTAAGAGCTTACCAGGGGGCCAGGGAGATAGCTCAGTAGAATAAGTGCTTGCCTGACAAGCACAAGGACCTGAGTTCAATCCCTGGTTCTGCCAAAAACAAAAGAGCTTACCAATGTCAAGTAGTCCTATGAATTTTGCATAGATTAACTTTGAAACTCACAATTCCACAAAGTAGATGTTATTATAATCCTTATTTTACAAACAAGAAAACTGAGGTATAGAGAAGTTAAATAAATTGCCAAAAGTTGCATAGCTGTAAATGTTAGATTCAGAAACCAAGCAAAATCTAGCCAGACCAGGGGCCTGCCCATTAGTTCAGTTGTTTAAGTGACTGCTTAAACAAAGCAATCAGGCTCAGGATGCTGTGGTTCGATCCCCAGAACTCATGCCAACCAGACCTGCCTTGAAGGTATTCTGAGACTGCAAAAAAAAAAAAAAAAAACCTAAGTCTAGCCAGACCGCCTATATTCTCTATAATACTATTGTGCTTCTTCCTCAAAAATACCAAAATCAGAGCTTTAGAGAATTAAGTACAGATTTTAGGATTCAAAAGCCTACCAAGACTTCCAGGAAGATGTGGGAGTGAACAGCAGAGAAACAGCCTCTCTGAAATTTGGTATCCAGACACTGGAATTTAGCAACATGAGGACAAAAAAGAGAGAAGAGGGTCCCGCGGACCCAGGAAGGATCTAAAGCAAGAACTGAAGCTCACCAAGAAAGCAAAGATAGAAACTTCAATGAATAAGGTGGCAGGTAGCAGCTCTTCCCTGAGCCCAGACTCACTGACTCTGTGGGAGGCATAGTTCAAAACTGCATACACACATGGCGATTGCTGGTCACTCCAGAGGCCTGCACGGGCAGATGCACCAGTGGAATGGAGCAGTAAATGCTGAGGACTGCAGTGCCTGGTGAGTGCTATGGGATTAATGTCCTACAGGAGAGGGCAATTGGCCAGA